CAGCATATCTATATATACATACATATACACATATATATGAAAACGATTATTTAATTTGAAAAATGTGTTCTTAGATTAATTATGCGAATTAAAGTAAAGAAATGAAAAAGCAGGTTTAGGTAGTACATTAAGAACATAAAACATGTATTCTTTTATTTCCCTCGAGAATCGAGTAAAGGGTATGCCAAAAGGAAGAACCCTAGGTAGGTAGCTTTGCTAAAGTGTAGTCTTCTCACGATCAAGACCTATTCTATGAGAGACGATCATCTCTTGTTTCAGATTAATCCGCCCCTTTCTCTCTCTCTCTCTCTCTCTCTCTCTCTCTCACCCTCTCACTATCTCTTTCTTAGCTTCGTGTCACGGATAAAGACTAACAATAAGATCACAATGAGAGTATTCGTTGAAGATAAGACAAGAGGATGGAGGAAAAAGGAAAAGGTTACTACTCCCATTTATCCGTAGTTTTCTTTCTTTTCCTCTTTCTATTTCTCTATTTTCCTCATTCTATCTTTTTCTCTTTCTCTTTCTTTCTCTCTCACACACAAACTAACTCTTCCAGTTCTTACCAAGCAACCAAGAAGCAAGTCTTTGCGAAACGTGACACAGACGGATAGGAAGAACGAAGAGGAAGGAAAAGAAGGGAGGAAGAGATGGAATATAAGGTGGAAAGGAGAGGGAGAATTGGTAGAGAGAAGGAAGAGTATCTTCGAAGATTAAACTTTCGATACCTACTCGTCGTTTTCAGTCGACTCGTGAGCGTCGTTCCGAACGTGCACCTGTTTCGATTATCTAGTTTACATTAAAGCTTATTTTCATTCTCTCGCGTGACACTTTGAAAAATCTGATTTGTCGTTTGCCGATAGAAGAGGAAGAAAGGAAGGAAACATTTGAAATACATCGACGGGAGGATAAAGGTATATATAAGTGATTAACGTTAAAATCAATTGGTGAATAAAACGCGAGATTATTGAAAGAAAAAATACGAGGAAGAATTTATCGAACGTGTAAGTTTATTTACGTTTGTTTCTTTTTCTTTTTTTTTTTTACGAATTAAATGAATATTCCCTCACACGAGGTTTCAATGTAGTTGATAATTTTTCTTATCTTCTTTTTTATTTAAATGAATATTTTATTCAGTTCGATGATGTGTTTTGGGTGATTGCGTGATAGATTTAAAATGAGAATGTAATTAATGAATTTTGTTAAATCAAACTTTGATTCTACACGTATTTTTTGTGTGTGTTTTATATGGTTAATTAAATTGGAATTAGAAAGTAATTGTTGGCAATACTAATCGATTAATTATTTGATTATTAATTCTTACTTATTTCAATTTTACACAATGCAACACACAATACTTTTTATTTTATATTATTTTACGATAAATATTACATCTCGTAAAATAATCTGATTATAAAATAAAACAATACTTGCTGACTATAATATAATGAAGAAAAATAAAGTAATCAAATATGTTCATTGTTAATTAAAAAATGAGAAGTAATTGAATGTTTAAAAAAAAAAAACGATTGAAGAAATTAGGCGAGCCGTACTAATCTAAAAAAGTATTTTACAATTTTGATTGATTTTAGTTATAACGTAATATAATAAATAATATAATTAAATGAATAATAAAATACAAACACATTATATGAAAATATAAACTTAGGTAAGGGTACCGACAGACAATGGAAAGGTTAGGGTTGAAGGGGTTTCTTAAATAGACATGGCAAGAAAGTAGATAGGATTAAACATTACTCGTGAACAATAAATTCGAAAATAAGATAACAGAATTGGAGTAGGATGGTTGTGTTATCTCTTAAAACCTTCGGTCACTGTATCGTGGTGTGTTCGGGAAAGTCGAAAACTTTCTTCCAGAATTACGAGGAGTTTCTTACCTGAGGGAAGAAGATATGCCATAGAGAAAAGGAAAAAAGAGAAAGGAAGAAAGAAAGAAAAAAAGAAATAAAGAAGGAAAAGAATGAGATAGAACGAGGATTCGGCCAACCTACGAGTTTACTTTCTTGTTCGCGAAGAGATAATGCGTGACGTATTTTCGTTAAAACTTTCGGCGCGATTTTCAAGATGTTACCTCGTCTCTTGAACGACTACTACTTTTCTTACGCGTTTAATTACGTGCAAAAGGGCATATCCGTGAAATGCCCTTAGGGACGAATAATAAATTAAACTTTCCCACGATCGTAATCTATCTCGTTCTCTTCATTTTCATTCTCAGCCCATTTTCTCTTTCCTCATCTAAAAAAGGAAGATGAAGAATTTTATTTTCTTACAAGCGTCATTTAAACGTTAAATAATTATATTCGAGATAAACGATTAGATCTATCTTGTAATTTTTATTTACATACGTATATTCGATCGTAAATACGAAATATGAACTTATAATAAAAGTACAAAATATACGATAGTATCGGAGCCTGATATTTCGTTTGATACCATCCAATCAATGAAATTACACATGCATATCTACGCTCGTATACAAGGTGTTCCAAAAGTAATCCTTTTTTTAAGCAAGAAAACAAAAACTCGATGAAAGAAATTAATATCAATGTGTGTGTTATAATAGAATAAATATTTTTTAATTTAGTAATATGAATCTTCGAAAAGTGTTTGCTAATAAAATCACGATATGGAAATATTTATGGGATAATATAATTGATCATTTTTCAGTTGAATAATTAATCTTTCGAAAAAAAAACTTTATAAAGTTTTAACAAAATATAAGCCAATGATGTTGCTATTCTAATTACTCGAGAAAAAAAAGTATGTACTATTTTGATTCGAAAAAAGAGAAGTCTTTTGGGACACCCGGTACATCTATTTACGTGTGTCTGTTACAAGTCATTTCAAGTGGACGTAGCTCGAAGCGACAGTAATTAATACTGCAGCTTCAATGTCTCGTTGAAATACATGTTCACATCAGTAATAATGATCTGACGTGGAAAACAGCAAGTTGTATGGCAAAGCAAGTTCCAATGTATGCACGTTACCTATGCACGTATATGCATTTCTCATTTACGTACGCTACCTTTTTGTTAATGTCGTCATATACACTTGACGTGCACTAATTGATTCGCATACAGAGTTAAAGGTTAACAAGAGGTTACGAGTAGTAAGATCCAACGATGATGATTTTACTTTTTGTTACGTTCCTTTTTATCCCCATCCATTTCTCATTTTCTTTTCTCTTCGTCTATTTCTTTCCCCCCTCCCCACCCCCATTTTCTTTTTTTTTCTTCTTCTTCTTCTTTATCCAATATCTTCCGTTCTATCACATTTTTATTACTGAATAATAATATAACCATGCGTCGTCGTCGTCTCATTATTCCATAGGAAAAAATCTTCTCTTCGATTTTATATTATTTTTTTATTTTTTTTTTTTAATTCGTCGTTATCTCTCTCTCTCTCTCTCTCTCTCTCTCTCTCGTTATCATCCGTTATGTCATATTGTTTTCCTCATAACAAAATTAACATACGTAGTTTCGATTAATCGTTCGTTATCATAACTATACTCGTTTCAAACTTTTTATATTACATTTGCTTTTTTTTTTTCTTTTATTTTACGTACCATCGCAATCAACGAACTTTTATTTCTTATAACCGATTACAATCGTTGTGTATTTTTCATTATACTTTCTTATTTTATCCCATCCCTCCCGTTCGTTCTTTCTTTTCTCTCTTTTTCTTCATTTGCTCGACGCGAATCTCATTAACGAGCTCTCGATCGTCTCGAGTTTCCATTTAACAATAATAATAATAATAATACGAGCGGGTACTTCATCTTGTACTCTTTTACAAAATTTTTCATTCTACGAAACTGAATTTTTCATTCTCTTTTTTTGTTCTCTCTCTCCCTCTCCCTCCTCCCACTCCCCACTGTTTGATTTACTTTGTCAAAGCTAGAAGACATTTTGTTCACTTTTCATCTGTTTATATTTTACTTCTCCTTTATTTTCTTTATTGTATTTTATCATTAAATATTTTTCGCGAATCTTTATCGCGTAGATCGTATCAAGTAAGATGGAAAATTCGGTTTTTATTGCTTTTTTTTTTCTAAACTTTTTTAAGGTTTCTTCTCGCGTTCATCGTTGAGTTAGGAAATACGATATGAAACGCACCGAAGCCCCAAAATAGAGAACGCACGAATTCTCTCTCTCTCTCTTTCTATCTATCTATCTCTATCTTTCTCTTTCACGTTATTCGAAATGCATCGCAATGGTGAACAATTTTGTCCCCCGACGGAAAATTAAATCGAAACTTTCCGCAGACTGAATCGCACGATTCTCCTACAGTCCTATTCCACTTTTCCCTTTGGACCCACCTTCGTCGTATAATCTCACGTAACGCGATAGCGTTGAAACAAATATCCTGTTTTTCGTTCTACCCATTTTATCTATCTATCTCTCTCTTACTTTTTGTCACGTATCGTTAACGTAGCAATTTTCAAAAATTCGATATGATTTTATTTAATTTCGCAACGTTAATCATTACTAATGAAATAATCTGTCTAGTGTTAAAATCTGATTTTAAATTTAAGCAAGTATTCGCATTGTTTGTATTTTTATTCTCATTCATTTTATACGATCGAGAAAATCTAATCTAAACGATATGTTAACATAAATGTTATCTATTATGATATATATATATATATATATATATATATATATATATATATATATATATATACAAGAAATATACAAACCCATATAATACAATAATTGTATTAACTTTGAATCATTTTATTATGATGAATATTATTTAGGTCGTAACGAGTATTAACTTTCGAAGGAATAATAATGTGAGATATTGTATTTTCATGTTAAATTTAAATGGGAATGTATTAGCTTGCGAAAATCCGGTTATTTGGAACATGAATGATGTAACTATAATAATATGCGCTTTCGCGTTGAACGCATATAGTCGATCGATCAAATCCGGATCTGTTTGCAAAAGCTGTGTTGTATAGAAGCTCACATATCAAAAATCTTAGATATTGTGTGGCTTCCTTTCAATATTCGACGTATTTGCCAACTTTGAAAATGTACCGAAAATAGAGAAGGATACGGGAATGAATCCTAAGGATGGGCTTTCATGCATCGTTCCGATCATATTTCCGTTCGTATAAAACGCGTTGAAATCTTTTCAACAATGCAAATTATAGAAACACATCTTATTATCTTTATTCGCGTGTACATACAAATTAATTTACAAAAAAAAATATATATATTGATTAATTTCATTTTTTATATTGAATATAAATACATCGATGGAAACAAATTAAATGAATTTTCTATTAGACTCGTTTTTCAAATGTTTCATTTATTTTACAATTTTCTAACAACAACCAACCTGTGTTTTTTATAATACATATATTTATATATTTATTATTAATTTTTATTTTTTTAGGACGAAAAGGTTGGAGTTTATATTACCAATTGAAGGAAGAATAAACAAAAATGCATATCAGGATAACATTGTCACTTCTGGTGCTGTTTTGTGTTCTACTAAGACCGACTGTCGGTATAAGTCGTCTTATCGATCCGAATTTTATCTACTTTCCCGATCAAGCGGAATACATCCAAAGAGCTGACAAATGTCCGAATAACATGATCCTCTGGCCCGGAACCGGTAAATGTTACAAAGAAGGTGAAAGAGGACCCTGCGATGTCGGCCGAGTTTTATTACTCGACAAACGATTACTCAAACCTTACTGCAAGGATATTTTATAGAAGAATATTCCTACAAGAGATGGCAGCACTCAAGGAAAAACCTAATTATCGATTGCTAGTCACTAAAATTGTCTAAGAGAAATCCCTAGATAACAGCATTATTTTTTGGGGAAAATCGTTTCCCCGCGTAAACTTTTAAACGACGAGTTTCTCTTCGTACTCGTTGAGTGACACCACTAATATTAATTTTTCAATAGCTCATTTTTTTTTTTTAACTTAAACGTGCCATTTTGTTATTTATTTCATTCATTTATTTAAGTAAATTAAAATGATAAATTATTTCAGATACGATAAAGTAAACAACACCATTTATTGTTTATTTTTAATGGATCTCGTTTTAGTTACTAATTGATTTTACATAATTCTTCGTTTGTTTTTTTAATTACTAACGAATTGATCAAAGATTCAATCGTATAAAAAGAAATCAGTAATGTTTGTAATAAGTTAGGAAGGATAGCGTAGTTTTAGTATTAATCATTTCATTATGAAAACTTCAACACATTTTTATCATCTTTTGTAATATTTATTAATAGTCACTCCGTGTCGATAGTTTTTACACTTTTCTTTATTTTTTTATATTCCAATTGTACTGATCGAAGTTTTAAATCGTATAAAAATACAAATCTAATTGTATTTAACAAATATCGTTAATGTAACGTAACGAATTAATATAGGATTGGGAAGTTTTATTATCCAGTCGTCTCATTACGAAAACTTCAGCATCTGTATCATCTTTTGTATTGTAATACACGACATTTTAATTATAGAAGTTGCGAAGCGACTATAAACGAATCCGAGCGTTTGTGCAAGTTCTGTGAATTAAACTGTACTAATTTTCATGTAATTTCATTTCGGTACGTCACGTCGCGAAATAAAATATCACTTTGTCCTTCTACTTTCGTAAAAATGTACGCGTGCTCGAGCCCCGTTTCGTGTTATTTCACGCACGTGGCTTTATTTAATCGTTTTTATTTGCGAACGAGTAAAAAAAAAGAAAAGAAAAGAACATGAAAAATAATATAGTAGGATCAAAGTGTTCATTTTATTACGTCGTGAATATATATATATATATATATATATATATATATATATATATATATATATATATATATATATATATATTTAAAAAAAATATCAAGCTATATGAAATTAAAAAGGAATATAAAGAGTTACGTGCACGTTTTAAACGCTGAACTTAATATTATAATTTAATATTATTATATTATATAATAATCGATTTAAAATTATCTATGAAAATTCTATCTATCAAAGTTATCTAATAATTTTTAAATTAACGATATAATTACGATTATTAATATATTATTATAATATATGTGTGTGTGATGTTGTAATATAATAATATTTTTCTTGATATTATTCGAACCATTATTACGAAACAATTATTATCTGTATTCGAAATATATGAAATATAGAAATTTGATTTAAACAACAATAATTATACTGTCCAACGATATCGATAATTTTTCATAAACACAATTGTTAAGTTTAACGTTAAGAACAAATATAAAAAAGAAAAAAAATAAAAACAAAAAATACTTGTCATATTAGACAAGATTAGTAAGAATAGAAGAGAAAAAAGAAAAAAAGAAATGAATTGTACGTAAACATTAATGATGGACGTTTCTCAGATCCTAGTTACGATCGTAATTTACAGATTGTAAAAATGTAATCAAGAAGACGAAAGGCGGCACGTTTAATTACTGCTCTCCGATATGGCACTGGCGAGAATAAGGGTGAGTTGGATGAGAAAAGATGGTCTGAGGGGTGAGGGGGGTAGCTCGTTCGTTCGTTCATAACAAGTCACCCCATTGGAAATAAAAAAGAAAAAAAGAAAACGGAGGAAGGTGGAAAGAATAAAAAAAAAAAAAGAAACTAGAAAAAGAAAATAAAAAAAAAAAGGAAGATAAGAAAAGAGAGAGAGAGAGAGAGAAAGAAAAAAAAGGGAGAAAAGATTGAAACAGCTGTCGTTTATTCGTGATCTCATTATGGTTTATCGAAAAAGGGTGGGTGGGGGGTGTATTCACCCCGTTTGACCGATGTAATATAAGTTAGGTCAATGTGACATCGATTTGAAATTTGGCAGAGACTCTTGACAAGAGGAAAATAAGAGAGTGTTTAGGGAGATATGATCGGAGAAGTTGGAAAAACCTACACCATGGTATTTTCCTTAGCGATATTTCAACGATCCTTTCTATCCCTTTCATCGTGCGTGCCACGAAAGTTACGTGCCGCGAGTAACAAATATTCCCAACCGAAAATGTTTTCGATTAACCCCATTTTAAGAAGGATCGACGTTACTCCGTTTTTTTCTTTTCTCCCCCCCTTTTTCCGAATACCGATTTTTATCTTCTTCGCTACCCTTCCTCATTTCGACAACAATTTCGTGTTGCTTTTTTTTTTTCGAACGGGAAAAAAAAAAGAAAATTATTCGACGTATTTTTGTTTTAACGAAAGGGTAAGTAAGTAAGTGAGTATGTAAGTTTGTTGGTTTCTTCTTTTGAATGGAAGAATTGTTCTTACGATTCGCGAAATACTTTTTTCCTTTTTCTTTTTTTTTAACTATAGATTTATATTTATTAACGTGTTATATAGATTCGTCAGTTTGATTTTACGATACTCATATCTCGTTTCATTTGTTTAGAATTAATTCGTTATACGTATGGATTATGTTACAAGTATTGGGAATATATGGTAAGATTATAAAAACAAATGTTCTTATTTATTTATTAACAAATTATTATTAACAAATATATGGTAAGATTATAAAAACAAATGTTCTTATTTATTTATTAACAATAAAATAATCTAACGTAAATAATTATTTATTAACAATAAAATAATCTAACGTAAATAATGTAATTATAGCGATAAGAATTATTTATTAGCCTGATTTATATAACAGTAATAATTAATCATTGAAAATACATAATTGGCAATATCTAACGTATAGAAAAATTTAGAATAGTTCATAAATATTTTCATATAATTATATAAAAATGAAATATTTGTCTCAATCATGAATAATCTATTAAATATTACTCAAATGAGAAAATTCTTAATGATAAATCATGCGACTATGAATTATAAGTTATTGAAAAATATCGAATTGTTATAATTCGTAATATCAATCCGTGATATCTTGGTAGATCGTGGAATAAATGGGGAAGCGGGGGTGGGGGGGAGCTTTTTGATTTTCTCGTAAATCAATCGTGTATCGTTCGAAGCGTAAAATCGTGGTAAATCTTTTAGGAAGCTAAAGCAGAAGCAGAAATCGCGACTATTAAATGGCACAAGGTGGAAAGGGTGGCCCTTTCGTTTCACGACAAGATCGTTTGTCACGTTGTTCCTCGTTCTCGACCCTGACGCGATTTCTTCCAGCTTTTTACATCTCGTTGATGACAACTAGCTCGAGAAATACAAGAACTCGTCGACCGGAACACGAGAATAACGAGAGAGAGAGAGAGAGAGAGAGAAGAATGGACGATGCATTTTTTTCTTTTAAGATTTGTTGTTTTTAACAGTTTTCACCAAATTCGCAAACTGATATTTATAATCTACGTCAGGAGACGTTTTTTTTTTTTCCTTTTTTTTTTATTTCGTCGCATTCAAATCTTTATGTCTTGTTGACAAAAATCTAACAGTAATTTATTTTTATTTTTAAAAATAAACAATTTTTAGTTTACAGTTATACCGAGTTATTAAAAATTGGTTAAATAAATAACACTTTTTGAACAAAAATTAGGTTACATTTTTATTTTATTAGCTATACGTTTAACTTTTATTTATTTCGAATGAATTTTTTTTTTATATTTTTATTGAAACATGAGAACAGCTCTTCCATTTGGTTTATATATATATATATATCTCTCTTTCTCTCTCTCTTTTGAAGTGTACCGAATTTATATATTTCGTCATCATACAAGCCTCGTAATCGTCAATATATATTTCAACTGTATTTTATTTGTTTCGTTTTAAAACAAACTAAAGACTCGTTTAATCTTCGTTTTCAGCTACTAGTCAGTTTACAAACATCAAAAATTCATCACATTTATACCATTTTATTTTTTTTATATACAATATATATATATAAATCTGTATCAAATATTTATTAAATGATACTCGTGGTATGTCAAACAAGTAACACAGATACATATACATATATATATATATAATAAACAATCGATTATTATTTTTTATTGTTTGAACCGCAACGATAGTGTCCGCTTTTTTATTTTTATTTTCAATATTTGCCTTTCAACCAAATATAACTGATAAAACGGAATAAAAATCAAATCGATAGGTTAACAAAAAAAGAAAAAAGAGAGAAAAAAGAAGAACTAGTTAAATTTTTTACCCAACAATTTTTATTTAATGTCTTCCGCTCTCTCGTGTTATCACATTTCCATCTTTATTAACCTGGGTAATAGCATTTGTGTCAAAAAGGGCCGATATTGAAAAAAGACTAATAAAAATGAGAAATAAAACGAAAAAAAAAAAAAACAATCTTTCGAAGAACACGAAATATCCATTCGCTAAGCAATACTTTTCCCTCCTTCCACTCTCACCCTCTCTCTCTCTTTCTCTCTCTCTCTCTCTCTCTCTCTCTACACGCTTCATCGATATCATCTTTCGATTTCGTATCTCGCGTGTCATCTGATTTCGAAGTAGAGGAAACGATAGGTGCACAGATTTCA